TTTGCACATTCTCCCTGTGTCTGTGTGGGTTTCCTCCGGGTGCTCCAGTTTCCTCCCACAGTCCAAAGATGTGCAGGTTAGGTGGATTGGCCGTGGGAAATTGCCCGTAGTGTGCAGGGATGTGCAGATTAGGTGGGTTATTGGGGGATGGGTCTGGGTGGGATGCTCCATGGGTCAGTGTGGACTTGTTGGGCCAAAGGGCCTGTTTCCACACTGTAGGGATTCTATGAAATGAAAAGTTTGCAGTGCCCCCTCAAACAGTTCTGTGGGGGTCTCTACATGATATGGACTACAGTGATTCAAGAAGGCAGCTCACCATCACTTTCTCAAGGGCAATTAGGTATAGGCAATAAATGCTGGTCTAGCCAATGATACTCACATTCCGTGAATTTAATAAAAATTCACAGTTAACATTGAATACATCCATTCATCCTCCTTTACCAAAATATTGCTCTGCCACTTGTATGTTTACAACATTTTCAAGCTATTTTATCTCTGCCTCAGGACTCACCTAATTCATTTCACATGATCTGCCTCCTCTGCAGTTGAACTCCTGCCAGCCCAGCTTCTGACCACTTGCCAACGTTAGCTCAATCCGAGACCAGGTCGAGGAAACTCATCTCAGCTAATGACGGAGACAAATGGACTTTTCCATTCGAGACAGCGTACATTATCATTGTAAATAATCCATAGGCATTGGGACCACTCCTCAAACCTAATACCATCCCCCTTCCTCTGAAAACAGATTGGGTTCCCGGCAGTGTCTACATCCCAGTGCAAGTTCATGGGAGTAGCGGCGGAGCTGAGTTTGGGCCCAATACAAGACCCAGCAGCATCAGTAAGGCGTGCCCGAAGCAGACTCATGGTGGTGGCAGAGTTGAGTTTGGGCCAGTGCGGTACCCGGGCGCACTGGTGAGGTCCAGTGAGGCCACATAGTGGCGAGGGCATTGGTGGAGATTAAAGAGCGGTGACTCTTGTTCCAATGCTGGTGGGGTAGCAAAGGGGACTTGTGCCTGGCCATTGGACCCATGGCCCATGGCAGAGCACTTACCAAGAAGGACCATAGTTGAACACTATTTCTTTCTTTTTCTGCCTTTGTGTTCTACTTTTTGGTTTATTTTTCTGTGTTTTAAGATGGTACTGGAGAATGGTGACGCTATACAACACTTTTCATTGTATTTTGTAACAAAATACACGTGACAATAAATGAAGAAATACCTACAAACCCTCCCTCAATCTCTTTTTCCTCTTCAATGGCCCACAATATTTACCTCTTTGCTCTCTGTGGCCGTTTAATGCATTGGTCCTGTCCATTCCACGTTCATCCCATTGGCTTCTCCTCTCCCTGGCTCTACAGTCTATCCACAGAATCAAGAATAGGCATCAAAGTCAATGCTGGAATGTGTTGTGATTCTGACCAAACTTTAGCATCTGCAACATCAAAGCCACCTTTATAATTGCACTCGTTAACTCTACATTCGGCCTTTTCTGCATTCTCTTCCTCTGACTATTCAGCTCGGTTGAACCCAACAATATATTTAATTTCTGCTTTATAATGTCACTTGCCTTTACCCCATGCCACCCCTTTGGGTGCTGAATATTTATCCCCTGTCAAGTTCAACTTCGGCAAATCTGTATTTGCTGTTCCCTACCCTCATCTTCAATTAACTTCCACTTGCCTAAAACTAAATCCAGTTCAGTGCTAAGTTCTCACTCACCTCTGAACCCCACTATTCTATGCCCTAGGAAGCGGTGAATGTGGGCACAGTTACAATGTTTAAAAACATTTGGATAAGTTCATGAATCAGAAATGTTTGGAGGGATATGAGCCAAGCGCAGGCAGGTGGGACTAGTTTAGTTTGGGATTATGGGTCGGCATGGACTAGTTGGACCAAAGGGTCTTTTTCCGTGCTGTATGACTCTATGGCTGTGTGGCACTTTGATTTAAAATAATTGCTTTTATTAATAAATTGTCTCTGTGGCATTTCATGATGCCTGTGTTTCCTCCTTTTGCTCTTGTTACAACCGGTTCCTGAGCAAGTGTTGTTGTAGCAAATAGATTGTGGTATTTGGAAGGAATTAGGTGAGTGGTGTGCAAGGTATGGAGAAATCGCAGGACATTGGCACTAGGTAATGATGCTCGTTTGAACTGCTATTACAGGCACACTGGGCCGAAAGGCCTTCTTTTGCATGGTGACAATTCTGTGAACATTGCAGCCGTTAATGTGAGTGATGCTGCTCGCACTGACTTTGAAGGTTGAGTAGTTGTTAGGAGATTCTGCAGTAAGCTTAATAGGAGTTTATCCACTTTCTTCCAACAGTGGCTTCGCTGGGGAATTGTTTTCAGCAATCGGCCAGTGAAACTTTATTTCTTTTCTGTTTCTACAATGTCCAGAGGAAGTTCTTAGATGTGAGACTTTGGCACCGTGCAATGTGAACCCTAGCACACCGTCACACAGAGCCCTATCATATAGAAGCCAGGGGTTACAGCTGGCTTCTAACTCTCTTGTGTATTCTTGGAACAGCATTCTGTCAATTGCTATCATGTTTGCAAACTGGGTATACAACCTATACAAGATGGTTTTCTGCTGAGAAGTGGTAATCTGTCATTCAAATGTGTCACTGGTACCAACTGAGTCATGCCTTATCCAATGGGACATACGTTCTCTTTTCTGTTCCACAAGGTAGAAGATCAGAAAGGATTTATGCTGTGCACTAGATTAAGCTCTGTCGAATCTGATGGTGCCGTACAGCCTTGGATGGGGACATCAGGAGGATAGCTCTGGATCTCAAAGAGGACAGATCTGTTAACTATGTCTCCTAATGGTCTTAGTAAATGTCTAACTAGCCTATGCTTGTACCTACTTGTTACCATGCAATATCACTGTATCTTGTTAAGAGCCTCTCTTGTTAAGACTCACCAGAGGTTGTTCTTCTGCCTCTGTAAACCAAATAGGTCCTTAGAACCCAGTCAAGGCAAGAGGACTGGTGGCAGTATCCTTCCGTTTACAAATATCACAGCTTCCACTCCGTTCATCTGCGCAGATTAAGTTGTTGGCAAAATCACGTTCAATGGGAACACTAAATGTTCAGTGTATTTGTGAATTTTCCATGTTCTAGTATTTTCTTTGCAAGCTGCTGTTCCAAAGGGATGTGACTGAGGGAAGATGTTGCAGACAATAGTGAGACTGGTAGAGCATGAGCCTCGAGGGGAAGGTGGATCCAGGAGCAGAGAGAAAGAGAGAGTGAGAGTGTGAGGTATCAGGGAGAAGATGGGGGCGTTTGCATCAGTGGAATTGAGAACGTCATTGGCCATCTTTCTGCAGGATGGTGTATTACTCCAGATGTCTGTGACTGCTTTAACCTGGCTGGCAAACCTGGACAAGGTTGGCATGCTCTGGTGTCATGGCCTCATCTGCACCAGTTTATCCAACAGGAACTGCAGGTCTCTGCTCACAAGGCAGGCTGCCAGTACCCACCCCCACCAACTATCCCATCCCAGGCAAATGTCAGGATATGTGCAGCGCAGCTCTAGAGTGATGGTGCATCTGTGGGTGCACAACAGGCTTTTAAAGGTGGTAATGGCTGAGGGATGCCAGTCTATCCTAGCAACAGCGAGCTATTTTGGGGATGGTGCTTGGTAAGATGAGGCTAGAATTGGACGAGATGGATGCCTAGAGATGGATTAGGGCTTTATTTAGGTGAGTTTGGTGGGAGGACGTGCTAGGCCACGGAGCGAAACTCCCTCCAAAAAACCCCACGCAACTCCCACTTTGCTAAGATAAAGTAAGATTCAGCCCCTGTGGAATTTGTGTTGAATGGGGTAGCACAGAAAGTGGTGTTAACAATAATGTTAAATAAAGAAATGTATAAAATACTATTAGGGGATGGTTACATTGCAGATGGAGGCCATTTAGCCCATCAATTCATTTCAGCTCTCTGCAAGAGCTATTTAGCAAGTCCTACTTCACCCATTCTCTGCAGCAACAACAATCTTTTCCATTCTGGGTCTTATTCAGTTTCCCTTTGAAAGCACCCAATGAATTTGTCTCCACTACCGTGTCAGGCAGTGAACTTCAGACCATGATCACCTGTTATGAAAACACATTGTTTCATCCTCCCATTACCTTTGGTGCTTTTGCCAATCACTTGAAACCTGTGCCCCCTGGTTAGAATCCCTACAGTAGGGGAGCAGGCTGTTTGGTCCATCAAGTCCACACCAGCCCTCTGAGGAGCATCCCACCCAAACACCTTCCATTTCCCATGGCCAATCCACCCTAACCTGCACATCTTTGGACTGTGGGAGGAAATCTGCATAGGCACAGGGAGAGCGTAGAAACTCCACACAGTCACCCAAGGATGGAATTGAACCCAGGTCCCTGCTGCTGTAAGGCAGTAGTGCGTTTTAAAACACACACAATATATTGACTATTTATCACCTGAACAGGTAAAGTGAAAGACATTCCGATATTTCTGACAATTAATAAACAAGAGAGTATTGAACCTTTTAAGCAGAATTGTTTTATATTTTTAATAATCTTTCAAGAATGATAATGGCACCCTCTAAGAAAGGGATATAAATCTAAGCACAAAGTCCTAAAGCTGCTTTTACAAGACAGATTGAGTGCTAATGTGAATCAAATCTTATTCAAGCAACTCTATAATGTAGAGGAAACCTTAATAACAGAGAGAGAAATGGTGAGCACCGATGGCAAATTTAGAATTGTGCTCAAGGGTTTATCCATAACAAATATTTACCATGCTAAAGCATGAGGATATGTTTGGTTTTCAGTTTAAATACAGGGAATTGATGTGCGGTTTACGTGAAGCAGCGTCTGTTGTAGTCAGTGGGGATACTATGTCCTGGAAATATTTTTGATGTTTTCAGGGAATTCAGTATCCAATCGTGCCCAGAGCATGTGACCGCCTGTTCACGTGAAAGATTATTCCAGTGCCCTCATGGAAAAATAGAAATTGGCACTCAGAGAAAACAGGAAATGAGCCAACCCAGATTTTATTGTTTCAGAAGGGCGCTGAAGCCAACAGTGAGGTCTGATCTCCTCAAAGGTTACTGCAGTGTGTGGTAAGCACAATTGCATGGGTGAGTGCTGTGTTTGAGAGGAATGTGTTAAAGATAAAAAGTGGTGCATTAAAGGTGAAAGATCAGTCAACACTAAAAGGGGTTTTCAAAATTCACGCCTTTATTCTGTAAAGTTCAGCTGATTAACATTGAGAAATAACGTGACAAATGTTCTGTGTTGGTAGCTTGCTTGATTTTGTTGTTAACATCATGCTGCAGTAAATTGGGAGGAATTTAATTGCATGTAAAACAGCTTTTAATTTATTTTGCTGGATTTTATTATAAATACATACATGACTCCTTGAAGGAACATTGTGGTCATATAAAATAAAAAGCAGTGTAACAGGTTTTGGATGTCATGCAGTATTTCAGCCAGAGGTGGTAGCTATTTCAAGTCTGTTCGAGATTAGCACAATACGGTACAATTTCTGGGTGCCTTGCCTTCATTTGGCTGAAACTTTCAGAACATAAAGCTTGGATGGTTTTCTCTCATTCAGGCTTACATCACTGCCTGATGTTGCTCATTTCAGCCCCCACATTCTTCCCATGTCAAGATTATAGCAGTGCAAGCCATCCTGAAGTATGTATGTTCTGTCGTCCTTTAAGAGTGGAAAGATTCTGCGATTGTAGTGAGGCAATAGATAATAATGTGTGTGTGTGTATGTGTGTGCTCCTCAGACCATTACTATAATTAACTAACTGCAACTTTCTCACTCCTATATTTTGGATACTGCGTTAAATGGCACAACACCAGTGGAGTAAGTAATCTTTTGTCCTGCGTTTGCTTTTTGAGAGACTTTAAGTGACAGTGTTTGTGGAGAGGAGTTTCTAAACACTTTTGAGGAACTGCATAAAGAAAAATTAGATTTACAACCAGGCATAAGGCTTTCAAAATTAAATTAAACTTGGCAGATTTGTCGATATTAGGATTGTACTCAGTTTAAATCTGAGAGTAGCATGTGTTGAGAATGAAGTATCTGTGGGTTTTGTAAATGGAATTATTGTTGTGCTACTCTGTGTAGAAATGTTAATAAATGTCCTATTATTTGTGGCCTATCCCTATTGAATGTAATTGCTGGAACATGCTGAATGACTAGTCTCAAGGTCAAGTCTAGTGATAAGATACTTTTATAATAAAAAACAATGATTAGAAGTATTTCAACTTCAGATCCCTGAGCATTAATTAACCAGATAGATCTGAAACATCTTGTTTATCGATAAAGCATTTACTCTGGTATTCAGTAGTTAAAGTACGAGTTATAATTGTAGATGCATTTTGTACTTAATTTGGAAAGCAGTTTTAAAATGGTTTTCAAATCACATTTGTTTAAGTTGAGCCCAATGACATAAACTTCAGCGAGTCATAAAATGTATTGTAGTAGCTACTGAACTTAAAGGCACAGAAGTAGGCCATTCAGCTCACTGTAAGTTGGGTCTTCTTTCAGCTGTTCATGTTTTACAAGGGGTAGCCACAATTCTTGTTAGTTACCTTTCTCCATCTCCTCCTGTCATCCACCCACCCATTTCTCTTCCAATCATATTGAATTAAAGTGAATTGGCACCACATCTTCCCATCTGGTCTTAAGCCTTCCTCTTCTCTTTCATGGTAGTGCCATCTCCATCACTCATCTGATCACATCTCTTCTCTCTCTACTTACGATGACCAGAACATTTCAATCTCTGCTCAGCTAATTTCTTTGATGCTCCTCAATTGTTACTGACCTCCTGAGATAATAGTTCCTGACCTTGTCCTTTCTCATTACTCTCCACATCTGTCTCAGCATCCAAATCTCAGTAATATCCAATTGTTCTCTCTTATAGAGTCATGGAATCACTGAGTTATACAGCATGGAAACAAACTCTTCAGTCCAACTAGTCTTGATGTTGCTTGTGTTTCTGAATTATATAACAACCTCTGTCTCACAACCACTTTATACACTTTTCTGTCACATAACATTGACATAACACAGAGGAGGCAATGGTCTAGTGGTATTATTGCTGGACTGCTAATCCAGAGACCCACATAACGTTCTAGGGACCCGGGTTTGAATCCCACCATGGCAGATGGTGGAACTTGAATTCAATAAATGTTTGGAATTAAGAATCTAATGTCGATTGTCGGAAAAAAACCCATCTGGTTCACTAATGTCCCTTAGGGAAGGAAACTGTCATCTTTACCTGTTCTGGCCTACATGTGACTCCAGAGACACAGCAATATGGTCTTAACTGGCCTCTGGGCAATTAGGAATGGGCAATAAATGCTGATTAGCCAGTGACTCCCACATCCCATGAATGAATAAAGAAAAGAACTCCATTGAACTTCTTCCAATTCCTCCATCTAGCACAAATCCATTTGATAAGATGTTGCATCAAAATTTATTGCAAATGATAAAAGTTCATGGTGTAGGCAGTAATATATTGGCATGGATAGAATATTGGTTAGCTAGCAAGAAACAGAGAGTAGACATAAATGGGTCATTTTCTAGTTAGTGGTACATTATGAGTGGTGTGCCACAGGGAGCAGTGTTGGGCCTGAGCTTTTTATAAATGTTATAAAAGACCCAGATGAAGGGGTTGAATTCATGGTTGCTGGATTTGTTGATGATACAAAGAAAGGAAGGAAAGTTAGTAATGAAAGGGACATAATGTGGCTCCAAGGGGTTACGTGAGTGGGCAAAGATTTAGCAAATGGAGTACATTGTGAGAAATGTGAAGTTGTCCATTTTTTGAGATGCTACAAAAATAGACAAATTGCAAGACAAATGCAAACAGTTTACGGAGGGATATTGACAGTTTAAGTAAGTGGACAAAATGTTGGCAAATGGAGGATAAATGTTGGAAAATGTGAAGTTGTTCAGTTTGGAAGGGAGAACAGAAGAACAGCGTATTATCTAAATGGAAAGAAACTGCAGAAAGCTGCAACACAAAAGGACTTAGGGAGGGACTTGTGCACAAAACACAGAAAGCTAGCACACAGGGTGCTGCAGGTAATCAGGAAGGCTAATGAAATGTTGGACCTTATTTCAAGGGGGTTAGAGTATAAGAGGAAGTCTTACTGCAGCTGCACAAGGTGCTGGTGAGACCACATCTGGAGTACTGTGAGTAAATTTGGTCTCCTTATTTAAGGAGGCAGTTGAGAGAAGGTTGACTCGGATGATCCCCAGTATGGAGAGATTTTCTTATGACCAAAGGCTAAACAGGTTGGGACTCACTGAAGTTTAGAAGAATGAGAGGTGATCTCATTGAAACATATAGGATTCTTGAGGGGATTGACAGGGCAAATGCTGAGAGGATGTTTTGGCTCATGGGAGAGTCTAGGACCAGAGGGCATAGTCTCAGAATAAAAGGACTTCACTTTAAAATTGAGATGAGGAGGAATTTCTTCTCTGAGGGTTGGGAGTCTTTGAAACTCCTTACCACAGAGAGCTGTGGGGCAGTACTTCAGTATATTTAAGACTGAGACTCTAATCCAACTTACATGCCCTGTCCCTGTAGCTTGTTACCTATAATTGCAAATATTCATCCAAATTATTTTCTAAGTTATGGTGTATTCACTGTCTGAATTGTTGGACAGCAAAGCAGTTCCAAGTTCTAATAAACGTGTGTAAAAAAACAAACTTCTGATTATAATCATGAGTCTATAGTCCATACAGTAATTATATTAATTTATTAACCAGTGATAATCCTTTGGTTTTTACTCTTTCTAAACCTGTCGTAATTTTTCAGTTGTCAATGGAGATCTCCCTAATTTCTTTGGGTGAGCAAGTTCAATTTTTGAGGCTTCTTAATTATTTTTCATTCTTGGTAATACTGTAAAGACTTTGCATTGTATCCTATCCAGCATTTTGATGGTCTCCTTATGAAATTGAAGTTTGGTTCTAATGTATTTGCAAACTGAATATTATTTTTGCTTATTTTTAAAGCCCCTACGTGTTTAACCTAAATCTCGTTGAATTTTCTGCCTGCACTACTGCTTTTAACGATGCACACATCAAACGCCCCTAGGTCTCTCTGACCCTCCAGTCTACAGAAAATTGTCATGAAAACTAACACTGTGTAATATTAATTCTAAAGTGAATTAAGTATGTATCATATTTTCCTGAAGAAGAACAGATTTATAAACAAAATAATTGATGGCTGTGAACTCAGTTTCTGATACAGGACTCTCATAGCACTAATGTTGGTTTGTTAAACACTGATAATCCTTTATTCTTTACTCACTCTAACTTATTCATAATTTTAAAAATTTTGCACAGGATTTCTCTTCACCTCTGCTCCAGAGAAAAAGCTTCACAAAATCTTTGGTTTTTGGTATCCTTCTGTAACTCTACTTCAAATTGTGCACAATAATCGAACTGAGATCTAGTTAATGCCTGCATAATTTCCACACCCTTTTCTTACTTTTATATCTAAATGTTCCATATAAAAAACCCAAATGTTCTAATATATAAAACCACCAATATTATATTTGACTTTTTATGACATTTTCTGTTGGCACAACTGTGTTTAAATATTTAAGGATATGTACCCCTACATCTCCTCTACTTAACGTAAAACTGATCGTCAGAAGTAACATTTAAAGGCAGAACATTGAGCTGATGGACTGTAATAATGATCCTGAAGGGAATTAAATGTTGTGCTTGATAGAAATGGGTTTATAGTTGAGGATATTGATTTGCAGTGGATTGGATTTGTTGACCTGACCTTTACTGGAGTTGAGTGTTTGTCATTGTGAAGAGAATGGAAAAGCCCAGCTGTGGATTTAGTCACTTTGTTGTATGACCTGCAAATTTCTCTTGTTGTCCAAGCTGGCCTGAATTAAATGAATTCTGGGTTTCAGCCAGTTGAAACTTTTGGGCGAATGGGATCAAAGAGTACGGGGAGAAAACAGGATTAGGCTATTGAGTTGGACGACCAGTCATGATCATGATGAATGGCGGAGCAGGCTCGGAGGGCCGAATGGCCTCCTCCTGCTCCTATCTTCTATGTTTCTATAGTTACTT